ACCATCTGAGACTGAAGAAACTCAGTCACCAGGTGCCTGTAGGACTGCCCTGGGTCCTCTGCCTTCTTCCTTAGTTTAGGAAACAGCTGCCCAACATGCACCTCTAAGAAACACAACCCAGGGAAAGGGAATGTAGGAAAATTCACTGACTGTTCTTTGAGTTTCAGGCTCGTGAAGAAACTGGTCTCTGAGAAAAGTGACTGGGTTCCTTCCAGTATATTGCAGCCAGCAGAGGGGGACAGTAACAACATAATTAAGAACAGCAATGCAGGTAACAGAAAAAACGTGTTACTGGCATTTATTTTTTATTTCCATATGAAAAAGGGTGTGATTAAAAAAAATGTGATAAAAAAGTGCACTTTTTGTTTTAAAGCACTCACCTGAGTGTATGTGCTGCAGTCTCTGGTGATGTGGCTGAGCCAGCCTGAATTTGGTGCCTGGGTGTCAGAACTAGTCAGGCACAGCAGCTTTCCTCGGCATGCTTTAATTGTTTACCCCTCCCTGGGCAGAACTTGAATCTCCCACCAAACTTCTGTGGCTACCAGTCCTTTACAGCCAGCCCAAGTGTGTCATGTGGCAGGGTGTGCCTGCGGGGTAGCTTTGATCCTGACATGGATAGCGTTTTGGATGGAGATCAGCATCAGGGCTGTGGTTCTGGCCTAGGTTTGAAAACATTAAAATTTCATGAGCCATTACTGCTTTCATCATATTTCACAGCTGGCTCCAAAAGCTGGAGGAAGGGCTGCTCTGGCACAATTTCAGCCAAATCAGCACTAAAAGTCATCCTTTCTTCAGCTTTGGTTCTGACCTAACACCCAAACAGGTTGCAGTGGAAAAGCTGAATCTCAGCAACTTTGCACATCAAAGGTTTACAATTTTAGAGTAATTTTTGCCCATCCTTAAATATAATTTACCAAAATGTGTCCTGCTTTTCTTCTGGTAACAGAGGACAACAAAATCTGGCAGAGCCATTCCCTAGGGACCTGCAAAAGAGACCTGCCAGCACTTTATTCTGAATTACTGGTCTCTCCTGATTTTTCTTCCCTTTGGTCAGTTTGTTAAAGTGGAGGAAACCTTTTTTGAACCTCAGGATTCTTTGCTGTGTTTTAAGGGGAGTTTGGTAATTGCTGCTCCTTCACCTCCACAGCAGGTCAGTTCTGTCTTCACCCTCAGTGCCCAACTATAGCTCTCATTTCATTGGCATGTCTAATGCTTCAAAAGGAAAACAAAGCCACACGCACATTACAGTTCATTATATGCCAAAAGAGCCTCCCTTGCCTTTAGTGAAGGAATTAGGAGAACAGTGGAATTGTGATTATTTATGTTTTATTTTATTTCAGGCTTTTAACAAAGAACCTCAAGACTGTAGATGGAAAATCCTGTAGACATATTGTAGTGACAATGCCCATGTCCTCCTTTTCAGACATGTACAACGATTCCTGCAGTACAGCCTCAGTAGAGTCAGACACGAAGGAAAGTGAGGTGGCCAAAAGTTTCCCAGCAGAACAGAGGGCTGGCAGCTGAACAGCAGGACCAGCCTTCCTCAGGACCCCATCCATCTGTCTTTATTTTGGGTGGACACTGGATCAAAGTTGCCTTTCTCACAAGCTCTGAGGTTCACAATTCACTAAAACTTTATCACCACGAACAGATGAGAACTGTGCTGTCCACCTGGCAAGCTGGAAAAAACAAACTTGAAAGGAGCATTTACCATCCAGAAAACATCAAAGCTACCTTCAGTATTAGAGGAGAAAAATGCTTCTCGCATTGGTTATCAAACAGTTTCAGAAGATGTGGCCTAAATTAGGTCGACAGCAGAGCTGAAGAGTTTCTATGCACGCACCTTTTGGCAACTTTGCTTGAGCACCACGTCACTGCACGGGGCACGTGATGGTTACAAGTTCTTGCTCTACCGTGGGGTCGCCTGGGGGTTTTCCCATTTGCTTGCCTCTGGCTGTGCCTTCCCTGTCCTCCTTAATTCCAGCTGATACTTCATCACAAACGTGCCCTTTTTGCTATGGTCAACACCAAAAACATCCAGTTTGAGGGTGGCTGGGGAAAGGAACCTTCTGGCTGGGACCATCAGAGAGGCTCCGTGCAGCAGTGACGTGACTCCCTGGCGATGGCACTGCTGCCCACAGCATTCCACAGCTTGGAATGACGCAGGTGGCAGCTCCTGGCTGTGACGTGGAGGTGCAGGGCTTAGCAGGGAAGTAAAGATGTGTAACAGCTACTGTGACAAAGAACATTTTGAACTGTTTTTACAATCTAAGTCGTTCCTCTGCCCCCTCTGCGGTCTCTGGTTGCTGGATCACAACCCTTTGCATTTGGTGCCGAGAATTCAATTGAATGCCATTTACTGTCACATGTTTGAGTAGACTGCATGCTTTCCTTGTGTGCTGGGCTATGAGTAGATACATTTCACCCCCCATTTGGAATATACTTAAGCATTGCAAATAGGCAGTGAGCATTAGAGTGGATAAAGTGTTGTTGTTAAATACGTCTTTCCAGGACATTTGATTAAAGGACTGTACCAAATCTCTGCCACATAAGGATGTAATGTATAATATAAAGTGATTAGAGATGTTATTATTCCTATACAAGCCATTAGCTCATTTAGAGCAGCTCTTAAGGCATGAAGGCATTTTGATGGTAATTGGGTCTTAGGCCCCACAAAAGCTGCTAATACTTTAGGAAAGATAAGTATTGACTAAGGTTTGCAAACAGGCCAAGATCAATCTGGTAAAAATGACCCTAGAAGAAGCTCAAGAGTGAGTGAGTGGCTTTCACTCTTATGGATGTTTGGTTGAACACTCAGACTAGTGGTGCTTTATGTAAATAACAAAGGGGACGAACACACTAAAACAGGAGATGAAGCAAAACCAAACCCCACTCTTTACTAACTGAGCCTCTGAGCAAAACAGTCAGTGTCTGTCTCACCTCTGCTGTCACCTTTGCAGGCACCTGAATGTTTTTCTTTCTGTCTCAGTGGAGGCTGTTGTTGCAAATATCTTAGTGTGTGAGTCAGGATAGCTGTGATGCAGGTAGATAGTCCCATTTGAGTAGGTAAAGGCTTATTCAGATTTTTTTTTTGCCTGTGAAGCCATTGCTTGATTATGATTTGCACTGTGGTGATGAATTCCCATGGCTCTTCTAATCCTCCATATCTAAACCCTGTGATTTGGACATTTTCCATTCACGACTAAAGGGCATGAGAGTTCTGTACCTTTTTGGAAAATGATTTTGTCCTACAGAGAGTGCAGCTTACCTGTTTTGTGCTGGTCATTTACCTCAGAAATGACACATAGGCTCTCAGGAACATGAATCCTCTTGGTCTACCGTAGTTATCAGCATCTTGAGGAAGAATTGATTCCTTTCAGTCCCCTAAGGAAACATGCAGTGATGTTTTCTTGTAGTGCAATTCTTTTATCCTCTCCCTAAAATGAGTCCATTCTGGTTTCAGTAATTTTTGCAGTGCTGGTGTCTACTCCTGCCCTAAGCACAGGACAGGGAAGGGGTAGGGAGCATTGACTGCATATTAATAAGTACAGTAAGCTTTTGTGTGAGGAAGAGAGAGATGGGGAAGGGTTATCCTGGGTATATGAAACTGCCAAAATGAAGATTTGTTGCTGAGAGATGGAGTAATGAAAACCTGCACTTCGGAGTTTTTGTTTTGAGGAATCTGATGGTGAAAGGGCAGTGGGAAGTCTCTGTTTGAACTGAAGAGGAGAAATCAGATATTGCCAGTCCATTTCCCACCTCTGCTGTGAGCAGGGTGACAGCGTGCAAATCCTGCATCCCCCATATCCCTGCGATACCCTCCTGCAAAATGGGAGCTATTGAATTTCCCGCCTGTTGAATTATGATGCTAAATTTTACCATGTATGCAAAAACTGGGGAGCCTTCAGGGGAAAGCCAAGCACTGAACCCCGTATGTCCCACTGTGCCCTCCAGGAGTGCCAGTGGCAGCACCCTGTGGAGCAGTCTAGAACTGGAGCAGGGAAGAGGATTGCTGATGAAATGTTGAAATGCTGATGAAATGTCTCCTCTCCCAGCTCTCCATCTCGTTGTGACAACTGCAAAGGTGTGGGCTGGATCATCACAATTCTCCTCCCTACTTTGCTTTTGGAAACAATTCCCCCCCCCCAAAAAAAAAAATGTTTTATCCTGCTGGACCAAAGTTTGAGTCACTCCTGCTCCACGAGTGTCCTGAGGATGACAGGGAACTCTCAGCCCCAGGGCCATGCAGCAGTGACACAGACCCTGCTCCTGGAACGCTGACTGTGCCACAGCTGCTCACACACACTGACCCTGAGCAGGGAGCCCACAACCAGTAACTGTGGCTGTAACCCTCCAGCAGTGCTGGTGGGCCAGAGGCAGCTCCCTGTTTCTGTCTCCACGTTCCAAACCCAGGGCACATGGCAGCCCTGGCAACTCAGTCAGGGAGACAGGGTTTGCTTTGAGGAAGAACAAAGGTCAGGGACAGATCAAGGTGCTGACAACTCCAAGAACAGCCTACAAGAAGTAACACTCTGGCTTTGCTGATGAGACAAAATGGGGTTTGATGACTTTTTGTTTGCTTTTCTTTTTTTTAAATGGTAGACAGGATAGTCTTTTAATTAGTGTATTTCTGTCAGGCAAGGTGATAATTACAGGAGTGACTCTCCATGTACAGTCTAGAGTACATTTGGTAATGTCCAGCAAGACTAATGTGTATGTAGGCCTTTGACACCATCCTTTTCAGGTAGACACACCTAAAAAATCATAGTTTTCAAAGATGGATTTCATTTCAGTGTTGTTTGGAGATGATATAGTGACCAGAAAGTAATTTAAAAGTAACAGCTGCCACTAAGCTTTGGTTGTAGAAGACACAAGATCCCAGGTGAATCTGGGCTGTAGCAGCACTCGTGGCTGAGCAGTGCCCGTGCTGCTGCACCAGCTGCCTGTGCTGGTGAACCTGCCCTCGGGGCTCAGGGTCCCCTCTGCTCTGCTGCTCTTCTGTGAAACTCCCAGGACCTTCCCATCCCCAGAAGTGCCCCCTGCTCGGGCAGGTGCGGGTGGGCAGCACAGCCCTCCCTCACCCGTGGCAAAGAACCGAGCAGGTGCCACGACACACGAGTCTTGCTTTTAGTAAACCAGGTTAACATTTAATCAGGCCTGATCCTCTCCTCTCACCTCGAGCCCCACAGGGTGGAGAATCACACCAGTGGTCGTTGTCTTGATCATAAACAGCTGCAGCCAAACCACCATGTCTGAGCTCTGGCTCTTCTTGCCAGTGACAGCAAAGCTGTGTGTGTGTGTCTTACATTCTGGTTGTGCGTGTGATGACGAGCCATTTCATTATCTATGATTTTCTTAGACTCTTGATATTTCAAACAGGATTGGGTATGAGAAAGGCCATGTGCTTCCTTTCCAAAAATACTCAAAGACTTCAAATATATATATGATTAGAAATATATAAGAATAATAAGAAAAAAGAGCCAAAATGTGTATTTCTTCTCGCAGCTGGAGCTGAAATAGCTGCTAAGATTTCCTCTCCCCAGCTGAGAATTGGTACAGTTTGTTTTTCTGACATGATTTCCATGGTGTTGATAATGATGTATTTGTATATTGTGATTGATGAGAGATAATCAGACAGGGAAAGAGCACAGAATTACCTGTCCTTTTTTCCAGTCAAGACAGAATGTATGAATTTATTACAAGAAAAAAGTGTGCAAATGAACTTCCTGTAATTAGGCCATTCTGACCTGTGTAGAACCACACTTTGTTTGAAATTTATAAAAATTATAACTAGTACAAAATCCTGTGGTTGATGTCTCTGTATGAAGCAACAAGCCAAATGAGGTTTTTCCTATTCTAAATAAATGCATATTAGTAAAGGTACCCCATCACAGCTGAAAAAATCCACATACCTGTTCAGTATAACTTTAATTTGCCCAACACACGTCACAAAAGACACAGTGTTTACCCATCTCCTTTAGTCATGTTCCTGAATCCCTGGGACTTTTTGGATAAGTTCACACAGCTCAGAGGAAGTTGTAGGATGGCTTTATTATACTTACCCCCAGGATATCTGCATGCCTTTGGCCACCAGTGTTTATTAGGGAGCAGTAATTGAGCCAAATACATGCTGTGGATCATGTAGAAAAGCAAACAGGTAAAAATAAGAATGCAGAAACACAATGCAAATCGAGCACAATATACTGGACCTAATTTCAGCCAGTACCCCGATTTCTGGGGGCAAACTTCACCTCACTTGAATTGTCAAATCACTGACCCTATCATGTTATTGCAGTGCAGTACTGATAGGGGAGAAAGAGGAATTAGGAGCATAGCAGATGCCTTTGTGCCCCCACCCAGCTGGCCCCATGGCAGCATCCCAGGGCTGGGAACGTGGCCGTGGGGGTGAGCAGGAGTGACGCTCTCCTGTTGCAGATCCCTGGGGTGCAGCTCTGCACGCCGGGACCTGCCCGTGCTGCTCCTGCCCCAGCCTGGCGTGGTCTGCAGGACGCCCTTCGTGGGACAGAGGTGAGGTGTTGCCATTTGCTGAGGAGTGGGTTTGGACACATCGCTCGTGGTGAGCCCCCCCAGCTGATCCACCTTCAACAAGCCCAGGCCTTGGTGCCAGCAAAGGCTGCTGATGGTCCCCACCTGAGACGAGAGCCCATCTGGGGCTCTGCTCAGCCCTGTCTCTCTCTTATCAGGTGCTCTGTAGAGATGGCCTGAGGTCACACCTCTCCCTTCTGTGCCTTAACATAAAAGAAGGAGTTTGGCCCTAAAAAAAGTACTTTCTTAAAGAATACAGGTGAGGTACTGATTTACAGGTTGTGACCCTCTGCTGGTGCAGTGTGCACCTGGTTATCAGAGCTGGAGGGATCTTTTGACGTGGCCTTGCAGAGCCCCAGGTCTCAGCTGCAGAGTGCAAGCCTGTCCTCCCCCAGTCAGCCCAGCACTCATTTCTGTTTTCGCTTTCTTTCCTAACCATCATTTATTTCCTTCTGTGGTAGTTTACAGACAAGAAGCACTGGCCTCCCCCTCCCTCTCCACCTCCTTCCCGGCCATGTGACTGAGCACTCCCAGCATCAAGTGAAACTTTTCAGTCCCCAGGAAAGCTTGATTTTCTCTCCACCCGCTCCACGGTGAGAAGCAGCATCTCCCCCACCTGCCATGGGGAGGAGTGCACGGCAGCTCGTCTTGCTGACCTTCAGCTGTGGTGAGTAACATCTCCATTTCTATCTGAGAAATCAGACATACCATGCCAGTTCTGTTTCCTGGCAGTCAGGACAGCACCTGACAGAATAAAAAGTTTGAACAGTTTTGTTGCTAGCAACAAGGGGGCTTTTAGTGAAGTCTCACTGCTAAGAAATAACCATAACTACAGTGAATTGCAGCTGGTATAGACTTTGTTGGATGTTTTCCTCTGTATTTCTCCTTGCACTCTGTGATAGCATAAACTCTGACTGCGTGAAGGAGTCAGCTTAAAGCAGTGTGAGAAGCAGACTTTCTTGGCCTTGCTTTTCTTAATTAAAAATAGTTTCCAGACCAGCAGAACTGACTGAAAACCTTGAGTGAGACAAGCAGGAAAGACAAAACACTTAGGAAGCATTGCTCTCTCTAGTTATTAATTCTGCAATGCAAGATGCAGAAGCAGGATCAGGAAAGCAGGGGGCTTGGAGAGGGCACACTGGGGTTTGACTGAATGACAAACCACATCAGAGTCACCGCTGGATCCTCAGTGCTGCTCTGTGGAAATCTGTGGATTTCCAGCCAGATCAAGGACATCTCCCAGTGCTTGAAGTCACCCCTCAACACCCACAGCAGTACAAAATTTGCCCTGTGAAGAAGGACAGAGCGTGATTTACTCTGTGTAATGGCCAAGGGGCTTTGAGCTCGCTGTTGGGACACTGCACTTCCGTGGTGGGTTTTGCCATCGGCACTCAGGGATCACACCAGTAACAATCCCCGTCCTCCTCCCAGTGCATGAACAGGGAAACTGCCCAGGGACTTGACCATGAGCAGCTCCTGCTCTACCTTTCTGCATTCCCATGCGTGCTACATAGCCAGGGTCTGCTGAAGTAGCCCCAAAACACATACACATGAAAGAAGGGCAAGATAGACTGAGCAGTAACACTAATGAGTGGTCAGCAACCGCTCTTGGGCAGAAAGAACTTGTTTCCTCAGCTCCTTATCCATTTTTGATCTTTCCTTTAATGATTTGTTGTGATGTTTTATTAATGTCCCAAGGCCAAGTCTTCCCGTGCAGACAGGGAATTAAACATAATTAGAGTTTAAGGGATAAAGGTCAGATGGGTGGGAAGCTATGACAGTACTGAAACCTCTCAGAAAATCTTGGTGCTTTTCAAGGCAAACCAAAGGAGCCAGAGATGGTGAGAGTGTTTTCAGTGATCACAGGAGCTGGGTCAGGTTTTGTGTCCACATGGAATCAGTCAGCTAAACACGAGCATTTCTTCTGGCAGCAGAATGCAGAACAAACCCACTGGGCAGCGGAAGAGCGTGAGTGTGGTTAGATGAAAAGGGGAAAAAAATCCTCAGTAAGAGTTTCTATCACCCACCCTGTTACAAGATGGCAAGCTGAGAAAAGTCACAGGCAGATCATGGCACTGAGCACTCCTCTTCCCACCATAATGCCTGGGAGCAGAGCAGTGACATTCCTTATGACTGAAACTTGTCACCACAGCATGAAAACGGGTTCTCCAGTCTCAGACTGGGAACAGTGAATTTCTGAGACCTGCCCTGATCCGTTTCTGAGAGTTTTGTTCTGGAGCTTTGCCTAGAGGCTGCTGGGACTCAAACACAGCCCTCAGCATCTGTGACAGACAACTGATGCTGAAGCAGGATGAGGGGTTGCAGCTGCTTCCTCTAGGAAGATACACCCCCAGACTCTTGCAGCCCTCAAAATGTTGCTTGTATGAAGTTTTGAGTTGGCTTTATGGGAGGGAAAGAAAGGCAGACTAACAGGGGGTTGGGGGGGCAGGTGGGGTGCAGAGCTGCCATTTCTCGTTGTTCTGCAGCATTTGTTCTGTTCCCATTTTGTGGCAGAGCCATGGGAAGGGCTGTGGTGGGGGCAGCTCTGCAGGCGGCTCCTTTGCCGAGCTGTGCAAGCTCCCCAAGAGGAACGTGGCAGTGCTGAGGGAGCCACAGGGAAGCCTTCCTGGCCTCAGCTGGAGGGCAGCTCAAGGACCCCTCACACAGCAGAGCTACTGAACTACCTCCAACAGCCACCAGAAAAGACCACGAGGTGCACCCACCCAGAGAGCAATCCTTACCCATCCCTGGGAACTCCTGTGGTCAAATGCCTTTTGATAAGACAGTCCAAGCCAAGGGTTTAGCAGCATGGCCTGCACTGACAGGAGCTCCAAAATGCTTGGGAGAGCCCAGAGGAGTGGTCTGGTAGGTCACCCAGTGAGCAAGAGCCATGGGCCACCCCAAAGACATTTCTGGCTTTACCCCTCAGTGACCCTGTCAGGCAGAATGACGAAAAATTGTTTGGTTGAAATTACCTTTTGGGGATACCAAATTTTCATTTAAAAGCTATGGGTGGTATTGCAGTGTCAGTTAAATAATATTTCTCTCCACATCTGTAAAGTATTATCTGGTCAGTAATCAAAACCAATCTGTGAACTAACAAGTACCGACTTTATTTAAGACTTGTGTAAATTTAAATATGGGTTGTTTCACAGTCTTACGGGAAAGAAAGAGTGAAAACTGCAACTTCTTCTTTCTTGTTTTTATCACGCTGATACACTCAGATGCAACTACCCATAGCTGGTTTATGGCAACTGCTCTGACTTTCCACAGAGGAAATCAGTTATCTGCTTTTCAGCTCTATGGTAAAGCCTAGAGGAAAGTGAGAAAATGAACTAAAGTATCATATTAATTATGCATTTTTATGTTCATTTTGATAAAAATCACAATATTTTTGGAGGCTTTTCAACTGTCTCAAATTGTACTTCTTTGACGGTTACAGCTACACTCGCGGTCAAGTGTATCCTGTGCAGCACAAATTTTAGGAATATGAGTATATGCACTTCTCCTCTTCTCAACCATAGTCATTTTTAAGGGAAAATTGTGGTGTGGGTTAAGATCTATACATCTGCTCTTGTTCCTTTGCCTTTTGTCTTGAATTTGATTCAAAACCCAATAGGGGTTTTCTTTTAGCTTTCTTTTAGCTTGACCTTGCCTTTCCAGAGCCTTGTTGCATGCTCACAATCAAGGAGTCTAGCAGAAGAGCTGTGACATTCTCCAATGTACTTTCCCATTTTTTCTTCACTTCCTTATTTACATTTAGCAACCAGATAAATTTTTTTTCCCTTCAGCAAGGGACATTTTTCTGTAAATGTTATTACATGGAAGTGTAATTTTAGTGCTGTGACTATTTTCCAGTGTAGTCCAAAATGCCCCTGGGTGCTGTACCCTGAAATTGTTCCTCATTGGTAAAAGCCCATCACGAAGAGGGATGGCATTTCTTTGGGTTCTTCCAGGAGCAGGAGCTTCAGGGTTCAAGCTGACATGGCTACAACAAAACCATGAATAAATATCTGGAATTTCCCTGTGTCCCAGACTGGTTTCCCAGGCTATTGCAAATCACTGTAAGACCATTGCTCTGCTCTCACACACACATGTTCCCTTTTCCTGTACTTGGTTGGTAAGTAACCAACAACCCCTTTGCCTGTTACACCTCCCTCATCTTCCTTAGACCTCAATAATTTACTTCCAGCAAGTCCTGCTGTACTGCTGCCTGCAGGGAGCTCTTGTGCTGCCTGAGGATTATTCCTGGTCTGCTCACACCTCTGGTGCCCTCTGGCTCCTTCAGTGTGTGGAGAGCTGGGAGCCAATGTGCTGCCACTGCAAGGGGTACATTTAGAGCTGTGAATCTTGGGGGAGTGGTGACAAGTTATGGATAGTCTTACAGGGTGTCTGCCTTCACTCTCCTGTCATGACTGGAGCCAAATGAAGAATAAAATCATATCACATCACCCATTTGATTACAAAACAGTGCAGTTTAGTTGTGGGGATCAACAGAAATGTTAAAGGTTTCTAGACCACTGACTTTAGTTTCTTTGCAGCATTTTCCTCCTGCCTTGCTGAAGTGGCCTTGAGGGTTGAACGGTCTCCAGAAACCACGTCCTTCCACCATACGGCTACTTCTGCTCAGCCACTTTCCCTTTATCATTCCTCACCCCACGAAAGCACCACAGTTCACTTTAACAGCACAGTCTCTCTTGAAACAACACCCACAAGCCACAGAACAACAGTGCAGATAACGGAGCAGCACCAGGAAACAACAGCTCCAGACCAGCACACGACAGCCCAGGCAGGAGCTGGAACACCCACCACCACCACACCAGCAGACAACACCAGTGCAGCTGGCCAGGCCACAGCCCAGGCCATGCACAGGGTCACACCTACAGTGAAGAACACAACCACACCCCCTGTGTCCTACGCACGTGTGGGCATAGCGGTGACAGCCACCAACACGTCCCTAAAACACACGACAGCAAATACTGCTGCCAACACCTCTACAGCCGCCACCATGCAGACAGTCAGAGCCACCACACAGTCAGGAAAACAAACAACAGCGACCAGAAACTCAACAGCCACAGCCATGATCAACACAACAACCACCCGTCCAGGGACCCAAACAGCCACCCCATCTACCGTGGTGACAGTGAGAACCACTCCTGCCCCGCAGCCTTCTGCCATCCCCACCGGCACTTACACCGTCTCCAGTGGGAACAGGACCTGCATCAAAGCAGTCATGGGTTTGCAGCTGATGGGTCAAAATGCACAAAAGGTTAGGTGGGAGCTGAGCTTTGTAATGACTGTTTCTTCACTAGCTGGAATTTATTCTTCTCTCCAAGGCATTGTCAGAAGTTAGTTCTATGATTAAGATAAGTGGTTTGCTGCCAGTAAGGCCCTTCATGTGCCCCAGCATCTCAGCTGCTGAACTTTGGCTTGTATGATGATGCCAGGGGGACATACACGTGCTTTCTTATTTCAGTGATGTACATGTGGGAGCAATTTGGAGTGGCAGATCAGCCTGAAACATTACCTGTGTTTCTTAGAATGGAAGACTAATTAAAATCTGAACTGACCTCAGTGAAGGGCTTCACATTCTGAGTTACAATGAAGGCAAGAAATTGCCAGTTCACAGGCTGGGATTCAGAAGTGGGTTGTCTTGATACTGATGCACTGAGACTTTAGGAACAGAGAAACTTCCAGGTCCTAGGGAGCTGGTACCCTCTCCTAGAAGTGATCCACTGAGAATGATTCAGCAAAAGGTGTCATGCAACCTGAAATAGTGATTATGTCCCTCAGACTTGTGGTTTTGTAGCCTTCCATTAATACAATATGTGCGGTTACATCCTCAGGCTCTGGAGTTCATATACTTTGAGCCATCCCCATTACAAATCCAAATAATCTTGTTAGAGTCTGGATATTTCTAAAGTGGGATGAGTAATGCTGGTAAAAGCAATTTTCATCCCTCATCCTGGCAGAAGCCAGGTAGGGAGCATGATTGCCAACCTCAGCAGACCACAGTCAGATGTTTCTAACACAAAGTGTGTTTGAGATGAGACTGAGAGAGCAAAGCTCCATTCAGGGCTGCAGAGCTCTCCTTTCAGACTGCAGTATGGGTTGTGCAGGACCTAATGAGGAGGGTGGGGTGATATGTGGAGCCAAACTAACCCCTGCCTGCTCCTCTCTTGATCTTTGCCTTCAGGCACAAGTTTCCACTGCTCCCTCCTTATAAATTACCACTTGTACTCATCTGACACTGCTCTGAATCTTATCAGTCCACTGAATGAACAGAAACCAAATATTTTCATATTTTCACAGTTCAGTGATGTGTCAGATGCTGGTTTATGAGTGGGGAATGACCCTGGCAGGCAGCAATTCAGCTGCCACCACCACTGGCCTGTTCATTTGGCCACAGAGAGCCTGTCTGGGGGGGGAAAGGAAAGCAGACATAAATCTCTGTGTGTTCTTACAACGTTTCCCTTCTCTTCATCAGCAGCCCTGCAATGTCTCTTCTCTCTACAGGAGCAGATGGAGTCCGTGGTTGTCAACCCCAATGTGACACAGACATCTGGAAGCTGTGGGATGGTGCAGTCTGAGCTGAACTTAACTTTCAGTGGAGGATTTGTGAACTTCACCTTTGTAAAGGTAATTGCTGCCTTTAGAGAGAAGGAGTGTTTAGGATGGGGGAGCTATAACTTAGGCTCCCTTTGATCCATCTCATCTCTCTCCATGCTTGTTTTCCACCTGTATATAAGGCACTAGTACTCCTGTCCTTCCTAAAGGGGTACACCATAGAACCACAGATTAGTTCAGGTTAAAAAAGACCCGGTCCAACATCCTGCTCAAAGCAGGTCTTGTCTGTTTGAACTTTCAGCTTGGAAAGGTTCATACCTGCAGTGAAGGGTAAGTCTGGTGCCTTGCCATCCCATGACAGAAAGTTCTAGAGAGCAGTGTTAAAGCTCCCCATCAAGCAACACAAAGTCTTCAAATGGCCTTGAGCAAAATCTGAGTCCCTTTTTTTACATAGGTAAATGCCAGGTCTGCTGTTTGCACTGGAGTGGGACAGAGAGAAAGGGTTTGGGACTGGAGTCCCTGCACAGGAACAGGGTGTGTGTGCAGGGAGCTCTGACTCACTGTCAAGATGCTCTTAGTCATTTGCTTCCCAGAAAAGCCAGCTGGGGTTGTTAAATTCGAAGGACAGCCTGTGCAGCTTTAAGTGCCCAGGAGCCACAACACATCCACAGCTGAAGGAGCCTCATTTCATCTAATTTCTGACGGGAAAATTCCAAACGAGTGAACTGCAACAACAAAATTGTAAATAAGTGCCCTTGAAATGCACCACACCTGGGAGACCTACACGTATGCACAGAAACATGGGCAGGGAGGAAAACAGGGTTGGATCCCATCAGATTCTGATGAGTGCAATGTGCATCAAGGCCATGTCCTCGAGCTCCAGAGCTGCATCTGGCCATCACTGCTGATCCAAGCCTTTCAATTAATCAAGCCAAAGTGTCAATCTTACAGCCTGGCTCCAAGCTCAAATTAGAGATAATTAAGAAAAGTACAAATGCTTAGTAATTGTCATAGACAGTCCAAGAGGGAAGAGCAAATTATACCACACATGAGCCATTAATTCTTGAACAGAGACCATATTTCAATTAATAATCATCTTGATTTTAGTTTATGGAAAAAAGCTTTCTGAAAGCCACAGAGGAAAAGCGAGGTAAAAAATGAAGGAGCTGTTTTTAAACAAAGGCTCCGTTCAGACCATGAGTATTTGCTTTAAATGTGTGCTTCCCACAACAAGGGGAGCATTCTGGTGTTACAAGAATCCTTAGAGAAAGGCTGGGGATTCAAGTACCTATGAAAGCCCCAGCCTGCAGCAGTGCTAAGGAGAGTGATGTAACCTTTAGGAGGTGCTTGACCTGTCTTGCCCTGAAAAAGGTGGGTTTGGCACAGCATTAGACAGCTTGCCCTTCACTTAAAGATAAGCCTCAAGAGCCCAGCAGGGCTCGGCTTGGACTGCTTTGAAATTCGGGTTAATAAGAAATCCTGTTGCTGCTGGTTTTTATGTGTTTGGCCCCCACAGCCTCTCTCAGTGCTTTGAACCAGGAGTGCTGCAGCAGTGACACTTCTGGCTGTCCCCATTGCAGAGGACCTGGGTCAGGGGTGGCAGAGGAGAGTGGCAGGTTTGGTGCTCGCCACTGCCAGGGCCTCCAGGAGAGATTGAAATGAGGAAGTTGTGTAACCCACCCACAAGAAGTGAAGTAGGAGCAGGTGTTTTCCCAAGCAAAGTTTTTATCTGTGGCCAAACAGAACATTGTGCTACCTCCCCAAAATGGTCATATTTGACCTATTTTATGTCTTGAAGTTGGAATAATGCTGAGAACCTCTTTGGTGTATTTCTTTCTTAAATTTTCCTACTCCATCCAACCAGTTTTTAAACTGGATGCACAGGAGACATTTGCCTGCTGCCAGTTATGCACCAGCTGCACTCACCAGTCCCTGTGTGCTCACAGCTGGAATTAGGCTGGGTAGTAGGGCTGCTATATATAGACTCACATTATATTCCAACACTGTGACCAGAGAGAAGCTCCCAGGGCTGGCTCTCGCTTTGTCACAGCCCAGGGCAGGACAGTATTCAGGCTGCACCGGTGGCAGGGCACAAGCAGGCAGGACACCTGGCTGGAAATTTTGCTCTGCGTTGTACCAGGTGCTTTCCATGTCAGCAGTCTGCAGGCATATGAAAACAAGCCAGCCAGAACCAACACTGTCAGCAGGGTGGAAAGAACAGTTATTTCTCCCCTACCTGTCCAGGTTGCTGTTTTATGTAGTGACCCTGGTTGGCAGACAAAATAGGAAATGATTGGTACAAGCATGAGATGAGCTCCTGGCTCTCAGCTTGTTGCTGACCTCTCCCAGCTCAAACCAGTGATGGGCACAGAAGTGCTGCTGCTTTGTGCAGTGAGCTCACGGGAGGGGGAATCTGTGCATAAAATACACAGCTCCTGAGAACTTCTTGAAGGTGTGGGGTGGGTCCCTCAGGCAGTCACACTGCAGGGCAGCACGGCTGAATTCAGTGCAGGATTACTCAGGAGAGCACTGTAGGGGCTCTCCATGGATGTGAATAAAGGTAAAATGGCCTTAGCTCATGCCTGTTAATTTGCAATATATACTGTTTATTGGACTTCTTCCTACTTTTGGTTACCACAAATATCTCACAAATGTCCAGCTTGAGCAGCTTGTGTAAAATGATACCTGCATGGTCCTGTGTCACTGAACTGAGCAGAATTTGTGATGCAGCTGAGATCTGGAAAAGAAAAACACATCCAGAAGAGTTGGTCCTTGCGTCTTGCAGGTGATGCTTTGAAATGTGTTTCTTTGGGAAACTGTGACCATTTTTCTGTGGTGAACTGTATTTTTTCCCCTGCAACTATGAGTATGTATTATTAATAAAGATATATCTTCTTTTGCAGCAAGCTCCAAGTTACTTTGTCAGTAACATTGAGAGCAGAATACCGTTATCTCCTGAAGGTCAGTGATTTTACACTGTCTTCATTTCATATCAAGCTGTACTGAATGTGGGATAAGCTTTCATATCTTTTAAAACACTGTCTTTTGCAAACAGGTGCTTTATCTAGTTTTCAACGTGTCATTCATCTAAACCTTAGGGTATGAAAAGGGAAGAGAAGGGACCAGGCTGCAGTTACATCAGTATTGTTACATTTTCCTTTTGACCTCAAAAACTTTCCCTGCCCCACCTTTTTCAGAGCAGAGATTACTTCAAACCTAAATTTAAGATACAAAACAGTTTTTATCTGCATACACACAAAAATGCTGGGACTCCAGTGCAGGTGTCTTTCCAATCTGATCAGCAAAGTGAATGAATACAGTACCTGGATCACACAAACTAATCAGTTTAATCATATGTTTTAAACCCCTCAGCTATACTTTGTGTCCCCCAGAGTGGTGCTGACAAGAGACACTGCTCTCCCTGGCTGTCACTGCCTCTCTGCCAGATGCTGCCATTTCACAGCCCACCAGCTGGATTTTTGCAGTGAGCAAGTCCCTAATTTTCCTAATATAAAAATGACTGAATTAATTGTACCAGCAGACACTGGTGTACTGATTTTGACTGAAGAGGACCAAGAGTATGCACATGATGTGCTGGCAAGATGTGGTTGAGATACACTGAAGCAGAGATGGTGATAGGGATGATTTTGTCTTAAACTGGCCTATCTGCTCTCAAAGGAGAATGTGCACAAAGGATATGCCCAGGTCACAAAATCTTTCCATGCTTGGAGCTTGAGCCATATTTTTCATAAAGTACTGTGACACTTGACACTAAAATATATTTAAAAACATATTTAATACATAAAGTAATACAGACTAGTTATGTTAAATTCCATGCTGGAGATGGTATCTCTTTTTTTGTCTGGAAATAGCTATGCTGGAGACCTAAGGTAGCTGCCTGCTCCTGAGAGGATTATAACCCCTTTGTAGACTCAAGTTGTTAAAACTTGATTTGGAGAAGCGTCTGAAATTTTATCCACTTTGTTAGACACAACCTCAACTGAGTCACCCATTGATACTTAAAGCACTCATTTAAACTTGGAAAAATATAAATTACACTTTATGGGGAAAATATCCATGCTTTAGTCACATCAGTGACTGCTGCTCTGCCAAAGCAACTGGGGACCCTCCCTTTTATCTCAGAAAGGTGTTGCTTCCAACAGTCAGCGTGGATTCTCACTTGCCTCTTTCTGGCCTCCAGGTATGTTTTACTATGCAGCCCTAAATGAGAAGCTGTTTACAACAAAGCTGGGGAATTCCTTTAAGTGTGCCAGCAGGCAAACCTTCACCTTGGAGAAGAATTTCCAGATTCTCTTTGTTCACATGCAGCTGCAGGCGTTCGAGATTGTTGGTAACCAGTTTGGGAAAGGTGAGTAGAAAGATACTTTTCCACCCTTCCAAGATCTACCTGTCAGCACTCAGGTAGCCTGATAGATATAATCTGCTAAATTATACCCATACACATGGGATGATCCTGCTATAGCATAATCACAGTTTTGTATTTGTTCCCAAATAATGTAACCTGTCCCCTGCTGTACTCTCAGCCTTTTCTGAGTCACTTCCAACACAGTGCTAATACTTGTGCAGGATGGAAAAGTATCTTTCCCTCCTGTATTCAGTACCTTCTATCTCACCTTCTCATGAAAAGTGTTCAACTCTACAGCCAGAATTTTATTCTTCACTCATTTCCTCCCAGAGCAAGCAGAGGTGTGTTCACCACCAGTGCACTGCCCAAACCCCCAACCTTACAGTTCAGTCTCAGGTCACTGTTCTCAATATAGTCAGATTTTAGCTATTTTTAAAAGCTCCTGACACTCAGGTTGTCTCACAGCTGCAGCAGCGAAACTGCCAACTAATAAGGGATATTTGTGAATGCAGGATGATACTTTCAGAGCAGCTGTGTCTAGACATGACAAAATGTGCTTCTGAGGAGGATCACAATTGGCACAGTCACGGATTCAGAATTAAATGTGATGCTCATCTCTGCAATTTGTCTCTTTTTGGAGAAGCACCACAAAGAGACAACCAGATCTCTTAGTAAAAGGCAGACCAGAAAGGTGGACTAGGTGGAACCTTGTGGTCTCTTTCAAATTGTACATCTTCTCATTTTTGCGACTTCCTCTCAGGGTGTTTCCATTCAAGAACTCAGGTGAACTCAGGGTTTGCCAGCTCTCCAGCCCTTCAGATGCACTAAAGAAACAATCCCTCTTCTGACACTTGCCTCTCCCTCTACATGCTTACAAAATATTGCCCCTGTATTCTTCTTTTTACTTTAGATCTGTCTTTTGACTCACTTTGGCTGTGCTTGATCAGTTCTTCTTTTAGGTCACCATTTTCTAGAAGGAATATAATGGGAAATGACACGTGGGGCTGTTTTAATACACTGGCCTTTTAAAAGCCACACTGAGAACCCAATTTATGCTCTCATTTTCATGAAGAATTTTTTCATGGGATAGCACTGAGCTGGAGCAATTCCTGATATCCCATCTGGTCTCCACATTCCCATTCAGATTTGTACAATGAGTGATTTCAGTTGTGGCATTCGGTATGGCCTCACCTCTATCAAAGACTGAGCTGAGAAAGATGTTCTCTCTCTGTCTCCAACATCAGACTGATCTCTGCTAACCAATACCATATATCAATTTAAATTAGTTTTGCTCTTAATCAGAGAGCTGAGCAATCAGTTATCACTTCTGAAATAACTCCCTAGTGGCCGTGAAATAGCCATGAAACTGTTACATACCTTGGCAGATATGCAGATTTTGATGGACAAAATCCCCAGTGAAAGAATGACTCTAAATACATCACCAGCCACCTCCCTTGGGTATCTCAAGACTCATAGTTTCACTTCTGCTGGTCCTGGTGTGCTTATCTTTAAAAGGGGGAAGAAAAAGAAAACATTAATCGTCACTGGTTTCAAGTTCCTTACAATTTTGCACGGACTGCAGCAGTGTTACATCAGTAGCTTGGCCTGTTTGAGTCTGGAAAGCTTAAAAGTGCCTTCTGAATGGTATTTCAGTATATCAGAAACAATTCCTAGAGTTCATAGCCCAAGGTTTCATCACATAAAAATGGCCAGTTCAAACATCTCTGGCTTTTACAGTACTTAAATGCAAATATTTTTCATCTCATTTAACAGCAGGTTACATTAACCAGACAAAGCTTTTAAAAGGCAACATCTAGTAGAGTGTTGATGCCTTTGGCTTTGTGGCATCACCACCTGGATTAGAGGAGAAGAGGATCAGATTTCGGGAAGAGCCATGTGGAGGCTCTGGAGCTGTGACATGATGTCATGCACTCCACATGCTCCCTGGGCAAAATGCCCACCGTCAGTGTAAAGATTCCCATGGTGGAGAAGCCCAAGCCAAGCCACAGTCTGTGCCAGCATAGTCACTGGAATAACAACAGGGGCTTTTGTCTCAGAGTGCTGTCAAAACCTGCCTTGGAATAGTCACAGGGAGCGAGAAGGGCAGAGGGTGTTGGATCCACAAATATTCTGAATTAACTGGGAGAATAATTACAATTTGATTTTTCTCAGGAAACACTGACTTAATGAGGATCCTTGCTGAGCTAGTGACTTGGACTATGGGCTCCCTTCTCTGGCCTGATCCTTTTTACTGGGCAGATTAGATTAGATGCCACATAGGAGCAGTTTTTGACCATGCAGGATGTGTCCTGCTCTTTATTTTTAGACTGGCATTTTGTAGTGTGATGCTCCCCATCTGCTACCAGCAAGAAAGCTCCTGCTGTGTGTGTGTGCTGAGTGTTAAAACAATTCCTACAGACATGAGGGAGCAGGGTCACTCTCTAGTGAAGCGTGGAGCTACTGTGAAAGGGGCAAGGATGGTTTTCTTGAGATAAAGTTCACCACAAATAAAAATATCTTAAGTATAGCTCAGGAAAAAGAAAGATAAAACCAAAGGAAATCAACGTTTTGAGAACATTTACCTTGTATTGGCTAACTTTTCTGAAATACAGATGTACTGTCTCGGAGCATGGTGCTCTGCTGTAACACATTCTCTCATCTTTTCCTTCCAGAAGAAGAATGTTTTCCTGATAGAAACAGCAGAGCAGCTCCCGTCGCAGTGGGCCTGAGTATCCTGGGCTTGTTTGTCATTGTGTTTGTCACCTTCCTGATTTCCAGGAGGAAGCCACATAGAGGATACGAACGCATCTGAGGTGCCCTTGTACTTCCAAATGTGTGTAGCAAGCAGAGAAGTCACAGGAGTTTTAGCTTCTGCCTGGCAATCTCACTGCCCTGAAGCCACATTTTTAAGTGAGATGACACCAAGTGTTTAAATGTAATGAATATTTCTGGAAGTTGTTTCTTTAGAGTAGGAAGGAGGCAACTCATACCCTCTACTTTAGGCTATTGTTAGCATCTAATTTAGATGTAGCCCAGATGACCAAAATGAGGAGCCTAAATTCTCTGTGTTATCAACAAAAGAGTTAATTCAGACCACCTAAGTCAGATTCCTAGCGATAGCTTAAAGCAGTAGTGGTATCCCCAAGAAAATCCAGAAGGTTTGTTAATGATAATGTTTAGATTCATTAAAATACATAATTCTGGTGATATGCAAATTAATAAAGCAGAGGTCCAGAGTACACACAATCCTGTTTAAACTAGAGCTTGTGGGAACACTGTGGGTGCCAAAATCACAGGGTAAGTGTCAGTGTGACTCCATTCACAAGCAAGTTCTCACCAGTCCTACAACAGAGTTACACTTCCTAAGTGCTTGGGTTTTTTCCTATTAAGCCCTTTGCAAAGACACAGTGGTAATGTGTGACCCTTACTCTGGAGCTGAATATGTCACAGTCCTGTGAGAGCTCACGAATCACACACGTCCTGTTCAGACATGGACCTGTTACAGTGATCACCACTGAGCCAGTAACTGCCCCTCTACTGAGATGGCAGCACTGGGATCTCTGAATCTGGGAAGATGCCACACTCACTGGAAGTGCCTGGGATTCAGTGAGCACCATTGTGGCAGACCTGCACAAGGTCCATGAGAAATGGAAACCCACCGACACTGTATGTTCAAGGCTTCTATGAGAACTAAAAGCTTGCACAGTCCTTGCACAAACTCTCTGTCCAAAAGGGAATATTCTCCAGCGTGCTTACAGCTGAGCAGCTGGATTTTCATGTGGAAATAATTTGGAGTTGCTTTAAGGCACATTAATTGATACACTCTGCATTCTATTTCCTGCTAAACCAATGATGAAGGCATGAGAGTAGTAATTGCTTTTGAGGTTAAGTCCAGCTCATGTTCTTTGTTGTAACAAGGAAAAGCTCCTTGTCACAAAAGATGTACAAAGCTAACCATGTGCTCAAATGTGCACAGACCCACACACATGCGTGGTGCACACACCACACAATCTGCTCACTGAAGCCAATGACGTCCAAACAATAAGAAATAATGTACGAAACCATTTGCAAAAGAGAAAATAACAGTAAATAAGAGCACATTTTCCCCTAAGGAATCAGGGTAATGGCTGTGGAAATAATTAACTCTCCAAAAATGTTTCCTTTGAATCTGAATGAATCTGAATGAACCAATAAATGAGAAAGATAAAGACAATTCTGAAGCACTTCTGCACTTGGAGAAACATCAGAGAGAAGTCAGAACCAGCTGTGAGCACAGGGGCAGCTGAATACATTTTTAAGGCATATAAAGAAATGGGATACCAAGCACAAGAAATAGGATACCAAACTTTCCAACCTTTAATACAGACACAGTGATTTAACTGTTTTCAGTTTAAAGCTCAGAATGGTCTGACCCTAAGCTGTTCTGCCCAGTGATGAATAAACCTCTCCCACTCAAAGCTGAGTTGTATTTCACATGTTCTTTGGATTGCTGGGTTGCATAATCTGTACAGTGTGTTACTTCTGCTGACAAAGAATATTTGCTTGTTCTGTTCTGTTAATATTCAGTCTTTTAAAATCTGATAATCAGGATGAGGAGTGAAAACTGTTCCTAATGACTGCTAATTCTATGTTCAATCTTGTGACACCCTCTGGCATTACCAGAGATTGCAAGATTAACGTTTTTCCCCTCCACCTTTTTATTTCTACACTGAATTAACCTGGTAGCATTGAACAATGTTTGATTCAGGTTTACCTGATTTGTTCTTATGATTTTTATTGCTATTGTTTGCTATTTTTATGAATCTGCATAGACCTTTCTAGATGAATGATACCCTGGGCTTGCTCTAAATGTCCCAGGGGAAGTGCACAAACCGATGAAACATCTGGATGCTCCCAGGAAACGCTGCCAACATGCAGCAAAATTAATCCAGTGGAGTTAGTGCTTTACAGTAGTAGAAGATCCATTTGAGAATTCCTTACTGCATCAGGAGATCCCAGCCCCAAGTGCAACCTTTCTCCCACCTGTGGCCCAATGTGCATTCCCATCACCTCTCTTCCTGATCACAAAATACAAGCAGCCTGCAGCAGGGATGTGTGTCAGCACACCAGCATAGCAGGGAATGCTGCCTCTTCAAATTTAATGCTGAATTAGAATTAGACAGCCCAGCTGCTCCCTGAGCTGCCAACTGCAGCTTTAAAAGCTGATGCCTGTATTGATTTTCTGCCAGAGTTTAGGTAGATGTTTAGCTGGTACTTTTTTATCTAATGGAGTTGCCTTGAGCTCTTCCTCCCATTGGGAAGATTCTACAGGGTTCATGGGCCTTGTTCTTGCCAGACTTGCTCCTTTAAATATCTTGTCTGAGGAAACATTTTGAGCAAAAAGTCCCTGAAAGAGCACAATATGAAAAGAGCTCTTATGATAAACTAGCTGGACCCTAGGTGGGCCATAACAGTCATACTGTGGGCAGAAGGACACGGTTTCATCTGCTGTGGGAGGGGACAAGGCTGCAGAGGGTCCCAGAGTGACCAGGGCTGGTCTCAGTTTATTTCTTCTCCCAGCTGCAGACTCAGATCAGCCCATCCCTGAACCAGAAGATGCTGATCAGGATGACAAGATGCACCAGGGCAGCAAAGTTTAACTTCTGTGCACACATGTGCTGGTCAGGAGACAGGAATTAGGGGGGTGAGCACATCCCCACATCCCGATAGCTCCTGGTGCTCTGCTGCAGCTCCCACTCCAGACCATCCACCGTGGCCTCTTGTACACCCAAGGCAGACACAAGGGCATCCCATCAGCATGATGATGTCACACTTAGCCAAATATCCAAGGAGTTTACAACAAGGTTTAATTTCTTTCAGTGCTTTTTGTTCTCTGATAGACAAGTCCAGATTAAGGAACAGCTGTTAATTCAGCTGAAAGAGGAAGGGAGATGTAGATCAGCATCTGAAGTGTCTGAAGGTGGTTTGGTTGATCACTTTTGGCTTGCCATAATGTATGGTTGCTAAAAATAACTTGCTATGAGAAGTAAGATATGCTCTTTATTTTTCTATTATTGGTGTTTCTATAATAAAGGTTGTATTTAGTCATTAGAGTGTGCATTGCTGTGGAATTAATTTATCTTTTGAGTGCTGTTTCACTTGAACTGTTTAAAATACAAGTACAAGCTAACAAACAGGGAGGATCCTCTGGGCTCTGGTCACAAACCACTGACACAGTTATGCTTATATCCTAACCATAACTTTGATGATTATTTCTTCTGTGGCTTGGGCAGCTCCTCTGACATTTCTATAATTGTTTTATCAGAATTATTTTTAAAAAGGCATTGAAAATATTACATGATTTTCTGTTAATCTCCTCACAACTTCTAGAGAACCTGAATTCACTGTTTCTTTATACAACCAGATCTCTTCTTTCCTATTGATCCAATAAAAACAGACCATAACTCCACAGCAAAATGAGATGGATGCTTGTTACTTCATGTTTAAACTGTTTTCACAGATAATAATCTTAAAGATTATGGTATGAGTCTTTTGAGAAGAATGCATCCTTTCAGCATGCAGTTATGGAAAGTGGAGGAAATAAATTGCTTGGAAAATACCACACATAAACTTGAAAACTCAGCAGCTTCTATTGTGGTAAAAGGAATTTCCCAAGGGAGACAGGCTGGACAAGATCATCCTTAAAGGTCTTTTCCAGCCCAAACCAGTCTATGATTCTTTGTGACTTTGCTGTGATTTTGCTGATTGTCACATCAATGGGCAGCTTAAAATATTGTAACTGCATGAGGTAAACTTCTCAGTAAAAGGGGGCACTCAAAAATTTTTCAGCTTCATCTTTAAAGATTTTTTGGAGGAACTTCAAACCAAATCTTTCCAGATCTGCATCTGGTGAACAACTGCAGCCAGAGCCAGTTTGGGGTGCAGGTTCCTGTAATGCCTCTAAGGCTGTTGGGGGGTTGTCACATCCTAGATCTGGGTGGAAGAGGACAATACCTTGTCAGTGGTGAGCAAGGTGAGGCTCCAAAATGGCTGAGGGAGTCTCTCTCACATGTCGTGCTCTTCATGGCTAAGGAAGCAAAGGTTGTAGATGGACTGCAGGAAAGCAGAAGATGTGGTAAAGATAGTGGAGAAAACCCCATCTCTCTGCTGTTGGCAGCTGATTGAGGAACTTGGCTGTTGGAGAAGGGCCAGTGAGGGCAGCAAAGGGACCGTAACTTCCCCCAGGGATAAAATATCAGAATTCTGTTTCACTGGTCATTTCTGATGTCAGTCCACATCCCCCCATGATAGAAAACTTATGGCTACAGGCCACAGGTTGAAAACTTCACAAGCCCCTTGATTTGTCCCTCAGCAGAAAAGCAGGGCTATCTGGAGATCAGGGGCAGTTTGCTCTGCTCTCTGGCACTTGCTTGGTCTGGTACAATATTAAATTTGGTGCCAGGTTTACACTTATTTAGTGGACAAGGTTCCTCGCTTATTCGTGTCACTTTTAAAAGCTGGCACTGGTGTGTGTGAAGTAGACCCTCAAGGGCTGCTGGATGTCTCAGAATTCTCTTTCTTGACAAAGTTTAGTGGCAGATGAAGGACGAGTCAACCATTTTTACTTTTAAGGCAAAAAGCCCCCATCTTGTGTCCAAGAAGCACAAAAGTTTGGAATTCATTGAAGAAACCTTTACATGAGAGAGTCTAGAAGAAAACAGGAAGAGTATTTATTGAAGCATCAGTTTGAGCAACATAAGAGTGAGGAGAGAAAGATTTCTAAGGAGTTAGCCTTTCACGACAAAGGTGACAAGACACTTGCAGAGACTACACTTCCTTTCTCACAACCATCAGAACTGCACGCTAACAAGGCAGGGGCATGTGTGTCTGAAGGTTATCAGCCACAACAACATAACACTCCTGGGCTTTCATGAGCGGCTGGGCTTTCCCAGCTGGTCACAAAATGTCACAAAGCCCACATTTCTCCTTTTCTGCAAGTGTTATTGCCTATGAAGTTGGTAGATCCCAAGTACTTTATTAAATAATAATCTAATTGGCTTGGTTTGTTACTTAACTCTTTCTTCACAATTTTAAAAAGGAGTAGGTTGCATTTCCAACATGCAAACCCAAAATAAATGGCTGTTGTAAAAAGGAAAATGTTCAATCTGAGGCAGAGTATCTGTGTTTATTAGAGACACAGATCTTGGTTTTGAAACTCAGTTTTGCTGGGGCTTTCCTATACCACAAAAATTTTTGAAGATTATGCATCATGAGTCCAGCCAAAGTTTAACCTCGTTTATTTTGGCATGGAATGACATTTTTTTCATTTGCTTAAGGAGAATTATTTCATATTTCAAATTACAGTTTACGCGATCTGCTCATGGAAGAAAATGATAATGAGAACACTACTCATATTAGTAATCAAAGCAGCTCTCAAAATATGCCAAACTTCCACAGTAGAATTTAAAATGTTGCCCATCCAACCTACATGCATCACTAGGTTTCATCACAGTGCTTCTGTCTACGTATGTGCACATTAAGCATATTACCGGTGTCAGTGAGAATATTATTATTCCTGCACTTCGATGTTATTACACTGCACTTTCAAACATCTGCATGTACAATCTGGTGATTCCACTTGACTTTGCAAGCCCTAAAAGCCACGCTTGCAGAATGCCTTCCATGAGCAGATTTGCAATATAAATGAGTTTGTCACTTCCATTAGGTCTGTGAAAAGAATCAACTCCTCCACCATCTCTGATTCAGGTATTGTAAAATATCTGTAGCTCTTCCCAATATTCAATAGTTAAGCTACATAAAATGCTGCCATCTTGTGTTTAGAGATAAATATGCAACTTTAAAAATCTGGATTTTGAAAGACAAAAGTGGGATTTACAGTGTCAGCACATTATGTGAAAAAGATTGAAGTGAACGAATTATGAAAAAGTGGAAGCTTCACTTAATAATTTAGCTTTTAAAATTTAATCCTTAGAGCAAGTGCTGAGCCCAACACCTCTTGCAGTCAGGTCCAAGGGACTGCACAATTTCTCCAAGCTGATCTGGTGTCTGTTTAACCTACTTGAACCACCCAGTCCATGGTGTGAGGGGCCACCAAGGAAAATTAAAATTAGCAAGAGTGAAACA